AGGTCGGTAGAAACTAGGGACACGTAGTAATTCGTGGACCACGCCTCGATGCTTGTAACTCGGCTGTACGTGCGTGCGTGCGTGCGTGCGTGCGTACTCGTCGATGCAAACACGCGTGCGACCCCGATTCGATTGCACCGGCATAAGGGCCTCGCGACGCGCAACAGCCTAGGGTCGCATCTCTCCACCACCATCGTCCAGTCATCCAGAAGAAGAATAGGCGTCGCGAACTGCTCCTTCGCTTTTTCTCTCCCGTGTAAACAAAATGTGAACCGCGCCATGTATACATCACATAGAAATAACGAGTAACGCGTTATTTATCGTGTATATATATATATATATTAAGAATTCATTTCGTATCGTTTACGGAAAATCCTTTCGTAACGAGGATCATTAATATTTATTTATGGAGATTTACGATAACGTCTTTCTTGTTTTTTTGCCAAGCTAGAGTCAAAAAAAAAAGAAGAAAAGCACGAGCGAATAGCATCGTTTTACTTACTACCTTTTGTATAAAATATATATTTAGTTAATCATTTACACCTTTGTGCAACGTGCAACAGTTTGTCACTAATCTATACACGTGTATATATACGTTTATATAGTAAAAGCGAAATAAGGAACGGTGGTCTGTTCAAATTTATAGAAAAATTTCACAAAGAGATATATTTTTATTTTTTAGAGAGAGAGAGAGGATAGGCGAGCGATAAAGCATGATAAAACACGACGAGTTGTTTTCTTTAAAATGAATTATCGGTTAATGTATTATTCATATAGCATTCGATCAACGTGTTTCAATGATTCACCGATGTATCGTTTTAATCAACGTTTCGACTTCTGTATATTTCGATGTTATAAGCCAATTCTGAACGTTGAAGAACACAACCGATACCGATCTCTTCGTTCTTTTTTTTCTTTTTTAAGGAAAGATTTTTCATTTACTTAAGACCGTACGTTTATTTGTTACAACGGTTTTTTCCCATTTCTTTTTTTTTTTTGTTTTAATAATATTTCATCGTTTAACGCATAGCAGCGAAGTAAAAAGCGTTTCAAAACGAACAGCGAAACATTTCATCTTAAGTGCACTTTTAAACGATGAAATATTTTAAGAGACTCGATATTCGGTCTAAATGTTTAAAATACGGATAAATATATACGTGCAAGTATATAGAAAAAATAATTAGTGAAGAAAAGGAAAGAAAAAGAAAGATAAATGTATCTTACGAGACAAATACGAGACGACTACATGGTAAGAATTTCATTATTTCAGGATCTATTGTTGCGTCGACGAATGGAGTTTTCGTATTTTTCCGTATTTCGAAAAAAATAATAACACGGGCTAATTTCAATCGAGAATGAAGATTCCTAAAGATATATATATATATATAAAACGAATCCGCCATTTATATACGAATATCATTTCAATAAAAAAAAGAGCATTTCACGAAGGAAAACAAAAGAAGCGTAGTTTCTACGCAGATATTGGAAACCATTGTTATTATTTAGGACAAAAATCTGATATGCATATTCGAATGAAAACATATTTAAGCTCCTATCGCTAAAAGAATATTCGTGTCGTTAATTATTTTCTGTCCTTCCGTTTTAACTGGAGCACTAAATTCTCGGCTATGAAACGGAGAATAAGAAAAAGAGAATTTCTCGCATTATTGCTCGTCACGTTGAGTGGCACGGAAACTTCGTTTTGTTTCGAAACGTAGTTTTTGTAGAAAAAAGGGGAAAGAAGAAGAAGAAGAAGAAGAAGAAGGGAAAAGAAGCGGGCGACGAAGAGAAGGAGACAAAAAAATAATGTTGTTGTTTTTAGCAAGTGCATCGTCGAAGTATGATAAATGATAGCACGTAACAATAGATGCGTGCCACCTGATACGAGAAAAATCACCGAATTTCGTTCAATCTCTGCACAAAGATAAATTATTATTCGAAGGAGATATCTTTTTTTTTTTTTTT